TCTCTCTCTCTCTCTCTCTCTCTCTCTCTCTGTACCAGGCACTGAACTCATGACCCTGCTCTTGACAGGCAAGCACTTACTCTGCGGAGCTATCTCCCGGCCCTTCTTTTTGTCTCTTTGAGACAAAAAGGTCTCTCTATGCAGCTCAGGCTGGCTTTCAGCTCACTTTGTTGCCCAGGCTGGCCTCCAACTTCCAAGGATCCTCCTGCCTCAGCCTTCCAACGGCTGGAATTACAGACATGTGCCACCATGCCAGGGCTATAGCACATGCTAGGCAGGCCTCAGCACTGAGCTGCACCCCCAGCCCTTTTTAAAATTTTATTTTGAGCCAGGGTCTCACTGCACTGGCCAACCTAGCTTCAAACTTTCAAATTTATAACTCTCTTGCCTCAGCCTCCTGAGTGCTGGATGACAGGTGTTCCCACTATACCCAGCTAGGAAGTATTTTCTATTGGCCATCACTGCTCTAGGTTTGAGCTTTGGGACACCTGAGGCCACCACACCCAGCCTCTGACCTCTCCCAAAAGCCGCTTGTCCCACTGTCCCTCTCAGCGGCTCTGACCTGTAGGTGGCGACGAAGGAGGTGGCTGTGGTGGAGTTGGGTTCCAGCGGCAGCGTCCAGGAGCAATCCACCGCAACGGGGTACCTGAAGGCCCGGCACCTCACCTGAGGCTGGCTCAGAGTTCCTGTGGCCCCAGAAGACAGGGAGCATGAGTTTCAGATTCACCCCAGGATTGCCAGAGCCCAGTCCTGGAGCAGTCATGCTCCAGGAAAACGGAAGCTTCAGGAGCCAGGTGGCTGGGATCAGTGGCACACAGTGGTAGTCCCATCTACTCAGGAGGCTGAGTCAGGAGGATCTCAAGTTCTAGGTGAGCCTGGAAGACCCTTTTGCAAAATTTTTAAAAATTTAAAAAGGGCTGGGGGTGTGGCTGGTACATGGGTGGGTTCGGCTGAGTATCAGCACTTAATTTCAAGAAAGAGCTGAGTGGACCAGACAGGAGAAATCCTGGTACCCCTTTTAGTAAGACTGTTGCCTCAAAGTGCAGACATCTGTTCTATTCCAAAATGAATGCATTCAACTCAAATTTATACTTATATCAACTGTCCGTATCTGTAGGAATCACCCCTGGGAGCAGAAATCTGTGGAGAGTTAAGTTCCTTACATTGCAGAGTGTGGTTTTTGCATACAGCCTGCACAACTCCTCCCGCAGACTTTAAATCTTTACCCTGCTCCCTTTTTGGGGGGTTGAAACAGGGTCTTGCTTTATAGTTCAGGCTGGCCTTGAGCTCCCTGTGGAGCCCAGGCTGGCCTCAAACTCCAGATGGCCCCCCGCCTCAGCCTCCTGAGTGCTGGGAGTGCAGGCACGCGCCACCATGCCCAGACGCTGGCTCCTAACATTTTTGATCCAAGATGAAAGATCAAGGTTGAGTCCCCAGACAATGTCCCTCTACCTGGGTCCCTCACCTCAGGGCTCCCGCGTACCTTCCTCTCCGCCACAGGATAAGTAGCCACTCCAGAGGGTGAGGACCAGGAGCAGCCTCCGGGTCATGCTTTCGGGCTTCTGAGGCTGCTGCCCTCTGGGGCTTTGGGTGGGGGCAGGAGGCCAGCCCAGAAGGCCAGGAACCCGCTTGGGGAAAGCCCAGGGCCACCCCGGGTCCCCCAGGGCTGACTCACTGGCCCGGTTTCTGGGGCTACTAGAGGGCTTGCAGGCGGCAGGGTCGTTCCCAGTCCCCCCGCAGCCCCCAGCTCGGGGTGGAATTCCCTGAGGGTGGGGGCAGGGAGGAGGCCGAGAAAGAGAGAAGTGACACAGTGGCCTTTCCCAGCACAGCGGGTGTGCACGTTCCTTCCTTCCGGCATCAGAAATGACAGGGAAACTCCGGAGAAGGGGACAAGGACTCAGAGAAAGACAGGGACAGGGAAGGGCAGAGACATAAAGATGCAGAGACACAAAGATCAGCTGGGTGCAGCGGTGCGTGCCGGCAGGCTGAGGCCTCAAGTTTGAGACCCTGTCCTCTGGGTGCCAGGACACAGAGGTGCAGACACCCAGCCTCCGATATTCTCCACCTGATGGGAACACCCAGGGACACACCAAGGCCCCTGCTGTGTCCCACCAGGAAATCCCCAGGGAAGAGCTGGACCCGCTCAGGGAAGGGCTTCCCGACAGCCGCCTCCCCTCCCTGGGCCAGAAGGGCCAGAAGTGGCCTGTGGGGATTTTAGGGGACTTGCCGAAGAATAGGGGAGCCAGCAGGGAGTGGGCTGTGTGTGTGGGGGGCAAGGCCTGGCTGCTAGCTGCGGTGAGCTTTAGGGTAGGAAAGGAGGTTCATTAAGAACTTTGGAGCAGGCGTTGTGGTGCACATTGGTTACCCAGCACTCTAGGAGGCTGAGACAGGAGGATCACAAGTTCAAGCCCAGGGCTGGTGAGATGGCTCAGTGGTCTAAAGCACCTACTTAGAACAAGCCCAGCAAAGTACAGGGACCACGGTTCAATCCCCCAGCACCACATGCCAGCCAACCGCGCCCCCTGGTGGGCTGAGCTGCCCCCCCACAAATAAAAATAAATAATAAAAATAAATAAATAAATATTATTAAGAAAAAAAAGTTGGGGCTGGGGAGCTGGCTCAGTGGACTAAGCACTTGCCTGGCAAGCACAGTGGCCTGAGTTCAATCCCCGGTTCTGCAAAAAAAAAAAAAAAAAAAAAAAAAGGTTCAAGCCCGCCCTGGCCAATTTAGCAGCTTAGTAAGACCCTGTCTGAAAAATTCAATAAATACTTTTAAAAAATGAAAAGGTTGGGAATGTAGTTCAGTGCAAGATCCTACGTTGAACTCCAGCACCACCACCACCAAAAGACAAGCATTAAGATTGTGTTAATTCCAGTATGTGAGATTTTTTTTTCTTTTCTTTCTTTTTTTTTTTTTTAATTTTATTTGTTTATTTTGTGTGTGTGTGTGTGGCCAGTTCAGCCCACCAGGGGGCGGGGCTGCCTGGCATGTGGTGCTGGGGGATTGAACCGTGGTCCCTGTGCTTTGCTTAGCTTAGTTTAGCTTGTTCTAAGTAGGCGCTTTAGACCACTGAGCCATCTCCCCAGCCCTTTTCTTTTCTTTCTTTCTTTTTTTTTTTTGTTCTGTTTTGTTTCAAAGAGATCATACAAAACTTCATTAGACAAAGTAATAGGACTTTATTTTTTTTTTTTAATTTTTATTTATTTATGTGTGTGGCCAGCTCAGCCCACCAGGGGGCGGGGCTGGCTGGCATGTGGTGCTGGGGGATTGAACTGCGGTCCCTGTGCTTTGCTAAGCTTGTT